TGCACTGTGAGCAGTCTGTCCATGTGTCCACCTGTGCACTGTGAGCAGTCTGTCCACGTGTCCACCCGTGCACTGTGAGCAGTCTGTCCGTGTGTCCACCCATGCACTGTGAGCAGTCTGTCCGTGTGTCCACCCATGCACTGTGAGCAGTCTGTCCATGTGTCCACCCGTGCACTGTGAGCAGTCTGTCCGTGTGTCCACCCGTGCACTGTGAGCAGTCTGTCCGCGTGTCCACCCGTGCACTGTGAGCAGTCTGTCCGCGTGTCCACCCGTGCACTGTGAGCAGTCTGTCCGTGTGTCCACCCATGCACTGTGAGCAGTCTGTCCGTGTGTCCACCCATGCACTGTGAGCAGTCTGTCCATGTGTCCACCCGTGCACTGTGAGCAGTCTGTCCGTGTGTCCACCCGTGCACTGTGAGCAGTCTGTCCGCGTGTCCACCTGTGCACTGTGAGCAGTCTGTCCGTGTGTCCACCCGTGCACTGTGAGCAGTCTGTCCGTGTGTCCACCTGTGCACTGTGAGGCCTCCACCAGCAGGGAACAGGACCCCACTAATAGCCTAGTGAAGACTCCGGGAAGTCTAAAGTGACAGGGACAGGGCCTTCTCCCTCCACCTGACCTGCTGCCTGCCTGAGTCACCAGGTAAGCAGGGCCATCCTGACCTGTAGGCTGACCCTACCTTATATGGAACCAGTATGTCTTGTACTCCGTAAGGAGTGGGCAAAATATTTGAAAAAGGTTGCACTAGGGGCTTTGATGACCAGGGTCTGGCACGTATGAGAAACAAAGCCCCTGAGGAAGGAGGGAGGTAACCGTAGATTAGGCTCCCAGGGCAGTGGGCAGGGTTCCGTGTTTGAGGCCACCATTCCATAGGGACAAAGGAAAACAGGTCAAGTGTCCACTTGGAGGATGAGAGGGTAGCTCTGAAACTGCTGCTCCTGGAGGAGAGAAGACAGCCAGTCTGCCCTGCCGGCTCCTCACAGACCCAGGACCGAACTGTAGAGGCCCCAGACTGACACAACCCTTAGAGCAGGGCCCTTGGGGTGTACATCTGTTTCCTGTGCTCTGAGAGCCACGTTTGGGTCCTATCTTGAATCAATGTCAGCTGTTCTAACCTGTCGGCCCTGCTTCTCACCAGGAGCGAGTATCGAATGTGGCCACCCACCTTACCCTGCCACATCTGGCTGTGGATGGCTTGTGGCTTCCACACCTTGAATACCTTTCAAGGAAAACATGCTTAGTTCGCTAAAGGGATTCAGAGAGTGGGCCACAGGCTGAGAAAAAGTGAATGGCAAGGGGTGTGCTGCTCCTGGGGAAAAGACCGGATTCGATTCGATTAGGTTCTTGCACAAGTAAGTTCTGGGATACTGGAATGAGGCTGGTGGAGTCCCTGCCATTTCTGGGAATCTGGTTCACAGAACAGTGAAGGAGCCCTAGCTCAGGTGCCAGTGACATGGTAGGAAGTAATGTCCCAGCTCCCTCACAGAAAGGCTCAGGGCATGCTTATCAGCTCATGTCTAGGGCCTATGGCTCAGCAGGGACCTTGGGGCCTGTGGCCTTGACCTAATATTAGGTCTCAGCCTTTGTATCCGTTGCTGATAAGAGAAGGGATTCATTTCCCTCGGCGCGGCAAGGAGAGTCACGGTCCTTACTCCGGGAGCTGTTGGGGCGATTTTAGTAAGGCTCCCTCAGGGAGAGTCTAGTTGAAGTACCAGGCTCTGGGCTGAGTGTGTCACGTACACGATCCCTATGCACAGGTCTGTGAGGAGCAGTGTTCACTCTCTTATGGAGGTGAGGAATGGCATGACCACAAAAACCAAACTGCTTGCCTAAGTACAGCGGCAAGGAGAGAAAGGGTCTCTTCTAGACCCTGAGGCAAACTTGGCTTCACTCAGTCCTCAGGACCCCATCCCGCCCAAGTGGTGTTTCCCAAGATTTCTTGAGGAAGGGCCTACTTTAAAAATCATACTACAAGACAGAGGCAACTTTCCTGGATTCTACAGAGGTTAGAAATATACTCATTATTGCCACGATTGGGCGTGATGTGGCCTGTAGAGGATCCTGTTCCCTACAGAGTTGGGCCCCAACACTCATATCTACAGCAGGCCTGTGTGGCTTCCTTGTACCTCACCTTAGGCCCATCACCCCACTCCTCTAGGAAGAACGTTGGGCCTCATCAGCCCCCACATTGGAAGTTTCTGTGAACAGAAGATGGTCTCAAAAGTCTCATTGGCCAGGAAGATTTTTCTCAGCCTTTACTCTCTGGAGTTTGCCTAAATATCAAATTATATCATTTATTATGCATCACCCCACACCTGGCTCTGCACACCATGGTAAACAAGACTTCACTTTTGGGAAGGGTAAGCTTGCTCCTTCCAAGGAGATGCTGGTATGGGTTAGCCTGCCCCAGAGGAAGTGATGGGCCCTCTGACCTGTTCCTCTGCCTCTGTCCATCTCCATGGCACTCCCAAGAGGGGTCTGGCTGCATTCTGCTTAAACATGGTCAGCAATGGGGGCTTCTGTCTCCTCCCAAGGCCTGTCTGGTCCCCTCACTGTTCAGCCCCACGAGGGAGGGTCCAGGCCTTCCAGTTGCTTCTCTTCACACGCCCTGAGAGTCAGATGAAGTGGTGTCCCAGCACCCTATGCTGACTTCCCAAACCACACCCGAGGAAGTTTCACCTGTTTTTTGGCTGTTGCTACCTTCAGGGTTGAGACCTTAGGCTCAAGCCATAATCCTCTGCTCTGTGGTCTGCTGGCTTTGAGAAGCTGCCTAGGGTCACGGTGCTGAGGTGTAGAAGGCCCCAGAAAACTGAGCAGGACACAGAGGTTCTGTGTGACCCAGGGAGACAAAGTGGATCTAAACCCTTACACCATTCCCACACCACAGACCTCAGAGAATCCCAGGGGAGAGATAATGGGTTGTTTAAAAGAATACCACGATGAAGCTCATTCAGTAGCTTATGCCAACACTCCCTCTGAGTGAGAGGCTGAAGTGTAGGCTGGCCAGCTGAGGACAGTCAATATTGACTTGGGCCTTGTCTGGGCCCAGTTCCAGCCCATTCTAACAGTGTTGTGGTTCAGCAGCTGCTCACACCAGTCCAGCCCTCTGACCTCTGTGTGCTGGACTGAGAATCCCAATCTTTTCCCATCCTGCTTCTGGTGCACACAGGGCTGGCCTGGGCAGGAGGCTCTAAGAAGGCTGAAGAATGCCGTTCCTTAAGAGCGCTACAGGCCCAGGCCCTTCTTACTGTCAGATTCCAACTGACTTCATGTAGAAGCCCTGGTCCTCAGGACCTTTCCAGAAGAACTTCAGCAGTCCTCAACCACAAGATGGCTTTACGTTCCTACAGCCCTCAGCTTTCCAGAACTCTGGTTTGTTCACCTCCTTGCTTTATGCTCAAAACCACCGTGAGATAGGCAGAACCAGCTTTGCAGGGCCTTTTTTTTTTCTTTTTTTTTTTTTACTGTCCTGGAGCTCATTAAATTGAACTCACAGAGGTCCCCCTGCCTCTGCCCCCCAATATCTGGGATTAAAGTCATGTGCCACCATGTCCCACCACTAGGCCCATTTTAAAGATGGTGGGCATCATGGAAGAGGAAGAAAGAGATGACACATGTATGATGCCTGCCATGTGCTGGATGCTGTCCCAGGTGCTTTTGATCCTTGCATCTAATGGATGGTACAGTTATTCTGGCTCCATTTTACAGATGGGGAAACTGAGGCTTAGAGAAAACCTTCTCTCCTCGATTGCACGTGGAGATGTGGGATACACAGTCTCTCTGACTCTAAGCTCCTCCACCACAAGGAGTCCCCAGTCTGTCCTAACACACCACTATTCTGATGGACTCTGAAGCCACAAGCCAAAGGCTCCTGGTGTTCCTGAAGTACCCACGGAAACAATATCTCAGGTCAGGCTGTGAACACGTGAGAATGCATGTCACGTGTACAGATGTTCCTCCTGTTCCTGTCTGTGAAGCCGGGTCTCCTTCCAGAAACAGTCCCTTTCTCCATGCTAGAGGTGGCGAGTTAGAGTCTCCTATTACTTCCTTAGACGCTCTGCCTTGGTTTTATGCCTATCGCTTGTCTCTAACGCCCTCAATAACAATCTTGCCAAGTGGACCACTCTGTTCTCAAAAGTCCCCAGCTCAAGATAGCTTAAACTCTTCTAGCCGGAGCCTGGTGAGGTGGCCTCCTTGGGCTGTTGGATGTAAACCATTCCAGTTTCACATTTTAACTAACCTACGAGGGCGGCATTATCACCAGCACTTTGCGCTGAACCCCACTTTACAGACAATACAATTTTTAGAGAGGAGGTAAAACAACTTGCCTAAGGAGTCATCAGCCAAGTGGAGGGAGGTCTGAACCCACCTCCATTTGGTTTCAAATGCTGTGTTCTCAGTCCTAAATACATACAGCAGCGCAAAATAAGCAGACATGGGCTGGGGTCCCCTCCCCAGCTCCGCATAGAAAAACAAGTCAGAAGATCCTCAAAAGCACTAGAATATGGCAAAACACAGATTATAGCTCGCATCCCAGGAACTCTCTGCCTTAGACCCTGATGATCCCAGGAGCCGACCCCACATCGAACGCTGCTCTCTGAGTGTGGGAAGAGCTGGAGTATGTTAGCAGAGTTTCCTGCACTGATCAGCACAGACTTGGGTTAGTTACCATCCTCCTTATCTGGGGCCTCTTCCCTAAGCATGCGTTCTGAGAACCTGGCCTGCGGGACTCTGCCTTGTTCAGCAGGTTATCAAACCTAATGACATCAGAGGCTGGGCCAGAGACTGGGCGGTCCATTTGAAGCCCTGCTGGCCTACCATGTGCTGGAAGAGGTTGCAAATGACTTACCGGGCACTCTCTATGGATTGAGAAATGGCACCTCCACCCCGCCACTGTCTAACAGTGCCTAGAGGATCCAGCTCCAGGAGGGCCTCCTGCCCTCCCCCTGTCCCTCCCAACCCACCTCCCAGGGAGGTCTGGAGCAGGAGGCCCCTCACTCACCTCCTGTGGCCTTCTCTCCTCTCCTTTTCACTATTCTCCGTTCAGCTCTCTAGAGCACGCAGGGGAGGGAAGATCCCAGGACCTTCCAGAGCCAGTCCTCTGCCGGCCTAGGGAGAAGCACACTGTGATCAATGTAATTAAGTGTCCCTGCGGATTCTGCGACTGGCTGGAGTCCAGGACGTTGGGAACCGCACCCCTCCCGGAACGAACTCGGGTGCCTGCTGGGCTGCGGACCGTGGGGCTGGAGCGGGTGGGGGAGGGGAGGGCTTCGCAGCGCCGCTTCCGAAGTCGCCAGTGTCCCCCCCCCCCCCTTCACGCTCGGTCCCGCGCGGCGCTCACGCCGAGGTGGGGCGCCGAGCTGGTATGCGGGCGCCCCAGGGCCTCTAGGTCCCGCGGGGGGCCAGTCCCAAACTTCGGGAACTGAGAGCCCCGGGCAGGAACAGGGGCGAGGCCAGCCGGTCCCCTAGGGAGTCCTGATCCCCGCTCGGGTCCCGGGATCCCCGGGCCGCCGCGGCGCCCGGGGCACCCACCTGCCAAGCGGGAAGCCGCGGAGAGCCCCGAGAGGCCGTGGGAGCCGGGCCCGCCCTCCGCGGGAGGGACCTCGGCGCGGGCACGGCAAGGAGGGGCCGCGGCACGTCGGTGCGGCGCCCGCCCGCTTCACCTGGCGCGGAGTTGGACTGCAGGGTGTGGCTTCAGGTGGGACGCCGCGAGCCGAGCGCCGGAGCTCCGGGGAGATCGCTAGGGGCGCAGGGGCTCCCGGCTCGGCCTAAGGGGCGACTGCGTGCCCCACTCCCCACCCCCACGCCTTCCCTCCAGCATCTCGGTCCCAGCCCCGCCGACCACAGCCCGCCTGCCGCGACCTCCCCGCGGCACCAAAGCCAGGACCTGGATTATCTACTGAGCGGCTGTTGTGCAATCAACTCGTTAATTTGCTCGCAGATACCTGACTGGGGCCCCGGGCCCACTCTCCAAAACCTGTGTCCACTTGCACATCTCTCAGAGCCCGATCCGGAGTCCTGAAACTGGGCACTTTAGCTTGCTTGCCAAGTCTGGACAAGTTCCCCCCCGCCCTGCGACTGTCCTGGGGTGGCCTCCTCGTGCAGGCAGGAGAGCAGGATAGAAAGGGATCCCGATTTCCTTGTCACCCCGGCTTAGTCCTGAGAACTTTCTGTGGTTTTAAGATTACAGAAAAGGGACTTTGAGGGGAGAGACCGCTTCCAGCAGCATGCCACCCACAAACTGGACGGTGACGTCCCAGCAGGAGCCCTCTACCTGGTTTGAGGAAGGGGCAGTGGCCACCTGTCTGTCTCCTCCCCCACTAAGGAAAAGACCTTTGCTGTCCTCTACTTGGGCCCTCGGAGAGAACTTTACTCGTTGAGTGCTGAGGGGATTCTAGCTTAGAAATGTGTGACATCTGGAACCCAAAGGGCTGCTTCCTACTGTGGTGTCAGTCACAGGTAGGGGACACAAGACACCGGATAGTACAGGACTGTTTCTTTTGTCACCATTGCTAGGTATCTCAAACTTTGGGTTTTAATTGACATCTTGGTTGCCACATATTTTTGATCGCTGGTTCCTTAGCCGTCTGGGTGCTGTTTCTAGGTAAGTCGTCTGTGTTGTGGGCTCGCTTGCTTCTCTGGAGTGTACTCCAGGGCTCCCACCAACCTATATAAGGGTGAGCCATGGGAACTTGCCAGCCTCACAAAGCTCTGAGCCTTGTGTGGTTGCACCTCGGACCTCCATACCCTCATTGTACTGGGGAAGGCATGGTGCAGCCTTGTGTGCTGGGGAAGGGTGGTAGGGGAGCTTCAGCAGCTGGTCACAGCTTCTCCCAGCCCCACACATATGTGCATTTCATGTCTGTTCACTCCTTCCTCTGTCTTCCCTTTCTCCTCTCTGTCTTTCCTAAGTGGATTCTATTTCCTCTGGACATTATAAGCAAAGCCCTGATCTCCTGTGGCCAGCTAGGAAGCTGCCTGAGTCCCTTGAAGTGATACCAATATGGCTTCCCCATAGATCAGTCACCCTGGGCCTAGGTACTTGCCTGGTGTTGGCTATAGGAAGGAGGTTGTGCTGTGTGGAGGGTGGGAGGAGACAGGTTGCTGTGGATTTGAAATGAACTGCAAACCAAAGCTGGAATGGAGTGTAGCATTGGCTCTAGAATCAACACCCTAAATGACTTTCTTTACTGATCCACAAGTGTACATGTGAATTACCGTCTTTTAATAAAATACCTTTATATGTCAAAACCATGGCTCTATGCATTAATTTGAATTTTTGGACTACAATAAAATATGAATGTTAGAATATTACCGGAAATCAACTGGTACCTAATTTGGTTTGAATCAAGGTTGACATATCCCAGAATAGCTATTAGTCAAGTCTCATCCCTTCCTTACAGGGAATAGGTTTAGGAAACACTGGGTCTCTCCTCCACCCTTGGAAGCTGAACTGGGGCCTGCGGCCTCAAGAAAGGCAAGGGCTCGCAAACAAGATAGACCAAGGAGGTGATGACTCCTCCGTTGATGAAGCTAACCAAATCAGCTTTCAGTAAGATTCGCTAGAGACATGTCCATCCTCAGTACAGGACTACACTAGCGGACCTCTCAGGCTCATGAGCCACACACATCAAGCGGTGTTTCTATATTCCCGCTGCTTCTACACAAGGCTCAACTCAGCAGGTTGGATGATGCCCTGTTGGCTGGGATGACTGGCATATAAAGGGTAAATTGAATGGTTGATTCCTGTTTGTGTCTCTCCCTCCTTGCTGCTCTCATCCATGCGCAGCTCAGCCCTGCCTCAGAGGAGGGCGCAGGACAACGGTGTGGCAAGTCCTAGCCACAGTCTGAAGGACAGTGTTGCCCCCAGTGTGCTCACACCTCACTCTGGGCCTGTTTCCTCCATTGCGGTGCCAAGGCTGTGGGACACCAGGCAAACAGTCCCCTGAGGAGACTTGGTCTCTGGCATAGGTCTGTTGCCAAGGGAGTTCATGTGCTGCCATCCACACATCAGGCAGGAGCCTTGGAGAAAGCACAGATAAGACCTTGAGAAAAGGCTCTTGGAGTATTGGCCAGCCAGCCAGCGCAGTCTTCAAGGGCCTCAGGGTGGCACATAGGGTGGGGTGAGCACTTCCCAATTCTCTCTCAGCCAGTGGCTGTCGGGCCTGTTGGAACATCTGACTGGCACCGCCAGGGCTGCGAGCCCAGGTTAGGGCCAAAGAGGAAAGATATGGATCAACTTGTGGTTTAGAAATACAAACACATTATCCTTCCCTGTGCTTTTCTGCTCAGAACTTGAAAAGCTTCCTAGGAACCAGGAGCTTGCTAACAAGCTCCCTAGCTCTCTGTTCGTTTCCTATCTCTGGATGCCTCTGCTCTCCTAACAACAGTAGTAATCACACCTGCCAATTACTGAATGGTTCCTGTGGGCGGAGTCCTGAGGTAAGCTCTTAGCTTATGCTGCCTCACTCTATCTGCACAGTAACCCTGATGGAAGTGCCGTACTATTATTATTCTTACTTTACAGGTGATGAAACTGAGGCACAGGGTGGCTAAGAAAGGACCCATAATTCCTGCTGTAAAGCATATGTATGGATCCTTCCCACCCATGCACATGCTTGCCTATCCATATGTTGAGATCTAATCACCAATGTGAGAAAGTTATTAGGAGGCAAGGTCTTAGAGGTGATTAGCACCAGAGGACCCCTTGTAACAACTCTGGTGGTTAACCCCAGGCAGCGCCCAGGAGGCAGAGGCAGGTGGATCTCTGTGAATGTGAGGCCAGCCTGGTCTGCATAGAAAGTTCCAGGACAGCCAGGGCTACACAGAAAAACTCTGTCTCCAAAAACAAACGAGCACTCACCACCAACAAAATAACTCCCCAGGTTAGCAGGGACATAGTCTAAAGAGAAGCACTTGTGCCTCTCCCTTAGAGGCATCCAGTCTATGAGATAGTGGACCACACAGAACGATGATTTTCTGCTTGAATTCCTTTCTAAGGGAAGGGGTGAGCTGAAGCTCTGGTGCCGGCCAGAACTTGCCTCCCAGGAAGGGACTTCATACACTTCTGACAACCTACCCACCCACCGCACAGGATGTTGCTGAGACAAAGATGGGCGGCTAACGGCAGAACCAACCAACCTTGACTAGGACTAGGTAGTCATACACTCCTCCTGCCCTCTGTTTACGACTACACCTGCTGGTACTCTTGAAGATGGACTTGGTGGGGGCCACTGAATCCCTCCTTTTGCTCCTCTTCCCGGTGTGGCCTTATTGAATAAATATTTTTTGCTCCACTCCCAATCCCCATTACTTCTTTCTTTAATTGGCATTATCAGTGAGGTGACTGAGCCTAGCTTGTTGGGGCTGCCAGAGGACAGGCTTTTACTCTAAAAATCAAACAAACAAGCAAACAAACAAACAAAAACCGTAACACCTCATGAACCGAATTAGTGCCTGACACAAGTGGCCTCAGAATGGGCTCCAGTCTCTAGCCACCTGATGTTATTATGAAAAGATAACCACTTATAAACCAGGAAATGGACCTTCACTGAACACCAAGCTTTCCAGGATCCTAACCTTGGACTTCTGAGCTTGCAGAGCCGTGAGAAATGGCACTGTGTATAAGGCGCAAGGTCAGTGGTATCCTGCACATCAGCCAGTGGCCTAAGCCAGTTACTGAGTGGAGAAGCCACATCACATGACTCCAAGTTTGTTCTCCTAACCTGATGCTCAGAAGTCCCTGAGGCCAAGGACAGTCTGAACAGTTGGCAGTGGGAAGATGTCAACTTATACCACTATGCAGGAAGAGTGAGTCTGGTGCATGGAATATCTTCACCCAAAATCTGAGTAGGACATGAGAACTACCATATGTTCAGGGTAAAGGTGGTCACTGAGTCCCCTGTTAGGACCAAGTACTAGGTTTCACTGGTCATGAGTCAACACCCTGCCTGCCGATCCTCCTCAAGCTGTCTGTCCATCTCAGACCAAAAATGGGCTTGACAGCATGAGTCTCACATTCAGAGACTGCTGGGGAGGTAAACAGCCAACACACCTGCATACTCCAGGCAGAAGGAGGAGTCTGTGGGGACTGGGATCTAGGAGGGGCAGTGGGCCTGCTCCCC